GTACAAATGCGAACAAGAAATCTATCTACAATTGACATTTCAAATTACATATATTGGCCCAAATGACGACGCTGAGGGGTACCACATCCTTTACAGAGTCGGTGGCGTCTATCCTCGGGCAGCGCAAGGATGAGCTCCAGTACGTGGGCTGGGTCGCCGAACTGGTCAAGAAGAAGGCCGAGGAACGCGTCGTGGTCGTGGGCAAGTGGCGCATCTACTTCTTCTCCCTCGTCAAAGGAGCTGCCAAGGTGCCTGCCTGGCCCTTCCCTCTCTTCATCTCTACAGCCCTCCCCTTTCAAGATTTTATTTGATGATTTATCTTTTTTTTTACTCCATTTGCCTCGGTGGTTTCACGCTACTCGCCTGCCAGCTCCTGAGGGACGCTCATCTGCTCGAGCTCAAGGAGATCAAGTCGACCGACTCCACAACCGTGCGTACACCAACCTCGCTACACTTTTCACTTTTCCATCTTTTCGCCCCCATCTCTTACTACTCGCTTCGCTACTTTCTTTCTGCTTCTACTTGGGCGACTGTGGCTGGTGGCTGATGGCTGGTTATGTGCGTGTGTGTGTGTGTGTCATGCGAGCAGCTGGTGGAGCTGGTGTTCAAGACCTTCTCGGTCCCGCTGGGCAACTGCGCGGCTGACGATCTCATCACGGCCATCCGTCAGTCGTACGAGGACGTCTTCTTCAACCTCCCGCCCGCCATCAAATGCAAGCTCAACGTCACCCCCGAGTCGCGCCTTCGTGACGTCGAAGGCCCCGGTACCTTCTGGCCTTTCACCGTCGTCTGTAGACTCGAGGTCCCTAACAACACCGCACACGCACACACCACACACGCACACACCCACACGCACACGCACACGCACACGCACACGCGCACACGCACACGCACACGCACCACAGCGCAAGCCACGTTGGCCAAGAACTGCGGTGGCTTCTCGGGCACGTACCAGGCCCTGTGCGACTTCTACGGCATTCCGGTCCGAGCCGACATTTGCTGGGACATGGACAACCTGCTGCCCGCCAACCACGTCAAGAAGTTCAACATGAAGGAGTTCGAACAGGTAACCTCCCTCTTTCACACCGCACGACACCATCGCACACGCCCGCCGCACCGCCGCACACGCGCATATTGCTCACCACGTTTTATGTGCGTGTTTCGTTCTGGCTAGCCTGTCACACCCAACGAACTGAAGGCCCTGGTGGACACCCTCCACTTCAACAACTACTTCATCGGCTTCGTCGCCAGGGACTACCGCCTGGACAAGGACTCCATGAAGGGTATCATCACCACCATCACCACAGCACCATCAATCAATCATCAACTCTGTGCTGATGGTGTGCAATGGTTTGCCAAATCTCACATGGTCGGTCGGTCGATTGATTTGTGTTTCTTTCAGTGCTCACCGACATGATCGGCGTCAACACCAAGATGGAGGAGCTCGTTCTCAGTCGCGTCGAGGGAACTGCCTCCGCCTTCGAAGAGCTCGGCCAGGCAAGTGCCCCCACCACAAGCGCCCGCGCGTGATCGATCATTGCGCTCGCGCTTGCGCTGCCGCGGCTCATTCTTGTTCCCCCCACCCCATCTCCAGGCCATCGCCAAGAACAGGAACAGCGCCCTCACCAGCATCGACTGGTCCAACAACCTCATCAAGGACGCCGGCGTTGCCGCACTCGGTACTCCTCACGATAACAATAACAACAAAATTTGGTAATAATCATAATAATATAATAATAATGCATTATGATAATGTTAGAATTATTATGCATTGTTGTTGTTATTGCTAACGGCGGCTTTGTCGGTGCGCAGCCGCTGCGGTGGCGTCGATGGGCCACGGGCTCACGAGCATCTCGCTCAAGGGCGGTGACGCCACCAAAAAGGGCACCGTCGCGCTGTGCACGGCCTTCAAGAAGAACGTGGAGATGTCCCGCACCCTGACCGTGCTCAACCTTGCCGGCAACAAGCTCGACAGGTACGCATGGGTGTTGATCGCAGCCGGCTCTCTTTCTCGCGCCTCATGAGGCTCGTGCGTGTGTCGTGTGTCGTGTGCTGTAGCGATGGCACGTCTGCGCTGGCTGCGTTCGTGTCGGGACCCAACGCCCTGCAGACCCTCAACATCTCCGGCACCGCCGCCAACCTCGAGATGCTCCTCCCCGCCGTCATGCGCGGTACATGCCCTGTTTTTTCTCTCTCTATATGTTATTTTATTTGCATTTTATTTATTTATTTATTAGTTGTTGCATATTATTTTTTGTATTGATTTTTAATATTATTGTCGGAAATGATCGTCTCAGGATGCACGGAGCTGGAGAAGTTCAACATCTCACACAACAAGGTGACGGCCAAGACTGGTCCGGAGCTGAAGAAGTTCCTCCAGAGCTGCGGTCGGCTCAGCGAGCTGCACATGCGCGACACCGCGGTGCCCGTGCAGGTCGTGCGTGATGTCATCAAGGCCATCATCGGCAACAACTTCATCACCGACTTCCAGCTCGACCTCGCCGCCAACAAGCTCGGTTCGCCGCCTTCCTCTATTTATCTTTCTTTTACAAATTTAGCTCTATCAATTTTTTGATATTATCATTATCATTATTTGCTTACCGTTTTATATTATTATTTATAAATTATCTCCCACAGGTGTCTTGGGCGCGAACATGCTGGCTGGTCTCGCCGCGGAGATCACCACCATCAAGAGCCTGGACCTCACCGACAACGACTTCGGCGACGAGGGCATGTCCATTATCGCCGACGGTACCCCGTGCTCTCCCCGCTTCCCTACTTTCTCTTCTTTTCTGACGCACGACACGACACACGCGACACACACACGCAACACGACACACGACACGATCGTCGCGCGCACAGGCCTGTGCCACAACTCCTCGCTCCGGGAGCTGCACCTGGGTGACAACTGGACGCGCAACAAGACCAAGGCCCGCAGCCAGGCCGTCGACAACCTCATCGGTACCACCGCGCTCGTCCCTTTCTGCGTGCTGACGTGGGCTGACGTGTGTTGATGACGTGTGCTGACGTGTGCTGGTGATGTGTTGGGGTCGATGCCGCGCGGCAGAGCTGATCTCGTCCGAGTGTCCGCTGCACAAGCTGGACCTGTCGTGCAAGGTGGCCGACAACCAGATCAAGACGGACATCCTGCCCTTCATCTACTCCCTCGCCACCAACGACACCCTCAAGGAGCTCGACATCTCCGGCAACGCCATGGGCGACAAGGGTTCGCACCTCTTCGCTTCGCTACCCGTGCGTGTGTCGTGTCGTGTCGTGTCGTGTCGTGTCGTGTCGTGTCGTGTCGTGTCGTGTCGTGTCGTGTCGTGTCGTGTCGTGTCTGTGTGTGTGTGTGTGTGTGTGTGTGTGTCACAGGTGGCATTGCCCTGGGCAAGGCCTTCCAGATCAACCGCACCCTCAAGTCCCTCATTTGGGACCGCAACGGCACCCGCTACGCCGGTGCGTACCTTTTTTCTTTTTCGACTAATTATTCTGTTTTCGATTTATTATCTTTTTTCAAGTAAATATTGAATTGGGTTCTCTCTTTCTTCTTCAGGCTTCCTGGGCCTCAAGAACGGTCTGGAGCGGAACAACGTGCTGGTGAACATGCCGGTGCCGGTGTTCGACATCTCGGACCTGCTCAAGAACGAGAAGCCCGAGAGCGCGCTGCAGGTGCAGCAGGTGGTGCTCCACATCTCCGAGTACATCGCACGCAACCAGTCCCCCAAGTCCAAGTTCGCCCAGGGCGAGGACTTCTCCCAGCACATCTCCCTCATGGTACGTACACCCATCGTGTGCGTGTGCGGTGTCGTGTGTGTGTGCGTGTGTGCGGTTCGCGCTGAAGCTAAAGTGTTGGTTGGGGCAACAGGGCACGGGCGCGCAGGAGGAGGTGCAGAAGCTGCGTCAGCGCATCAGGGCGGGCCAGGAGGAGTTCACGCCCGGCCAGGCCGCCGTGCTCAAGGACGCCGAGGAGAACGACAACCGCATCGCCGCCATGCAGAGGATCCAGGACGAGGTGCAGCAGGCCCTCGCCGACGAGGTGGCCTCCAAGCTGGGCCAGTTCGCCAGCCAGCTGGTGCCCTTCCTGGCCAGCACCCACGACCAGCTCATCGACCGCGTCGTCGACCAGGTCAAGGAATACAAGGTACACAATTCATCTCTTTCTTTTTCTTTATTTTCTTTTTTCAAGTTGTATATTATTTGAATTTATTTTATTATTTCTCGCAATCTAAAGAATGTGATGTGTCGGCGAGTAGGGTTTCGAGAAGAGCGCGGTGGAGAAGCTGAAGATGGACCTCAAGGAGAACGCCAAGACGTCGCTCTCCAAGGACGCCATCAACAAGATCCTCGCCAAGTACGTCGCACACGCACCAACCGCACACACCACCGCACACGCACACACGCATGACCAAACACACGCACGAGAATGAACGCTCATCGTCTCTCTCTCTCTCTGGCCAGGTCGGCGGCGAGCGAGATCACGAGCGAGATGACGCAGGGCTTCGTGTCGTCGGTGAGCCTCACGGTCGACTTCGTGTTCGACTCCCTCCTCGACAAGCTCGACTCCATCTACTACTCCCAGAAGGGCGGCGCCCCGACCCCGAGGAGCCAGGTCGAAAGCGCCGGTACGCGCGTGCGATGATGTGTGTGCGGTTGTGTGTGTTGCTGACCACACACACACACGCAACACGTACAGACACACGTGCAGAGAGCTTGCCAGAGACGAGCACGGCGGACGACACTCCGTCAGAGGCGTCCGAGGAGGAGCCCAACCTCGCGTCGGAGTCGTCTGAGACCTCCGACCTCCCCACCACCACCGACGCCGCCGCCGCCGCCGAAGAGGCCGAGCCGGCGGTCAGCGTGCCGGCGCGACCGACCGGCGTGCCGATGGGCGGCGTGGCGCTGCCCTTCGGGGCCATGCGCACGGGCATGCCCGCCATGCCAATGGGCGGCGTCGTGCTGCGCCCCACGGGCAGCCCGCTCTCCCAGTCGGCCACCGACCGACCCAAGCCCGTCCCGCCTCCTCGGTAATTTACCTCTCCCCCCAAAAAACCGTCGACATCAAATCCTCACGAATGCGTGTGTTGTGTCGTGTCGTGTCGTGTTGCGTGTGTCGGTCGTGTGTTGCACAGTGGAGCCAAGCCGGCGCCGCCGCCGCGCACGGCCAAGCCGCTGTCGTTCTCACAGCAGCCTGTGTTGATGCCGAAGCCGGAGCTGCAGCCGACCACGCCGACAAAGCCGGCGGCGGAGCCGGTCACGCCCGTCAAGAAGCCCGAAAAGGAGGTCAAGAAGAACGACACGCCCGCCAAGAAGCCCGAAAAGGACTCCAAGAAGCCCGAGAAGCCCGCCAAGTCGCCCAAGAAGCCTGAGAAGTCGCTCGCCAAGTCCAAGGAGCCCGAACCCGCCTCGTACGTGTGTCGGTCGTGTTGAGTGTGTGTCTCGTGTGTGTCGCGTGTGTGTTGTGCGTCGTGTGTCGTTTGTCGTGCCAGCTAATTCATGTTTTTTGTTCGTGGGGACATCAGGGCGGACATGACGGAGCTGGAGGCGGCTGAGTCGAATCTGACGCACATGACGAAGGATCGGCCAATGGGACCCCAGCGGAGGCGACCTCAGCGCAAGCCCCAACGCAGGCCCATGATGAGCACCGCCGACTAGAGCGCCTTGCTTGGAGGTGGGCTAGACCACCCAGAATGGTTCTAGGTTGTGGCTGTGCAGCCCACCACTTGTTTTTTGTCTTTTTCTTGTTTTCTACCACCACATAAAGAGGCCCTCATCTGTCATCTTTATTACGCCTGGGCTACTTGGTTGTGTCTTCTGACAGAGAGCAGCTCAGCCCTTGTCTGGCAGCTGATCAGCTGACCCTCACCACTGTGTGGTTGTGTGAACAGAAAGGCCAGCAGTAGGAGTTATTTTTAATATTGCATGTACATTGCTTGAACAAAGGGGTGGGGCGCTGGTGAAGTTAGCCACCGCGAAGAAGCGTGGGGAGGAAGATGGTGGCCTCATTTGGAATCTGGTAGTCGGCGAGGGTGCGGTCGTCCTGGAGCTTCTGGCCGGCGAAGACAAGGCACTGCTGGTAGGGAAGGAAGCCCGACTTGCCCCGAATCTTCCACTTCACCTCCTCGATGGTGTCGCTGGACTCAACGTCAAGCGTCATGTTCAAGCCAATGCGGGTCTTCACAAAGATCTCCATCACTGATTGATAAAAAATCAACCATCAGGAGCGGGCCTCACCTAGTTTCGATTCGTATTACATCGTTGTGTAACGTTTCGGTTTCAATTTCAAAATTGAATGGAATGTGGGCTTTAGGTTGGCTGGGTGTTGGTGGCGAGGAAGCGGGCGAGGGGGGTGAAGCGCTTGAGGCTGTCGACCAGTCCGCCGGGCCGGTTGCGGCGAAGCCAGATGGCCTCGTGTTGGTGCTTGCAGGCGGCCCACGCCTCCTGCAACTCGCGCCACTCTTCGCTGGCGCCTGGCGCCTGTGCCGGTTCCCGCAGGCTGAGCGCCATCGCGCGACAGCTCACGTCGGCCATCGCCGCACCATGCGCGATCTACATCAGAAGCGAGCCAACAACGATCAATCGTTGACAATGATACAACGGTCGGGCGGATGGAGAGAACGAGTGGAGCTGTGAGGCGGCGTACCTCGTCGAGGACGAGCTGAGCGTCGTCTCTACCCGCGTGGGCTTTCCTGAGCCCCGCCAGCGCCGCCACGATTCGTTCGTGGGCCGCTTCGGCGCTGGCCACGGTGATGCCCCTCCGGTTGTCCTCGCTTGGGTTTTGCAGGAACCTGGTCGTAACCCGGTCGGCCATCAGTTCAAGCCGCAGCGCAGCGTTGGCCGATGATGGATTGGTGGCTGGTGGGTGTCGTACTTGAAGATACACGAGTCGTTGCACTGCGGCTCGCCGCCGGTGACGGTGTAGAGACAGCCGAGATCGTACACAACTCCGCCGAGGAGGTCGGCGGTGTCGTGGAACACGTGCATGTTCAGCCGAGAGGCCAGGTGCTCACGCGACAGATACGATCTCTGCCGCCCGGACGTCAGTATTTTTGTGCGTGTGGTCGTGTGATCGTGTGTGGTGTGTGGTGTGTGTGGTGTGTGTGGTGTGTGTGGTGTGTGTGGTGTGTGTGGTGTGTGTGGTGTGTGTGGTGTGTGTGGTGTGTGTGGTGTGTGTGTGTGTGTGGTGTGTGGTGTGGCACATACCACGTCGTTGGCTTCGGCATTCCAGGCGAGGCCGGCACCAGCCAGGAATCCCAGGTACGAGAAGGGCAAGGTCTGCCAGTGCCCGTTGTCGCCCCAGTCGGTGATCAGGTACCCCACCGCCCCGTTCTCACGGCCGTGGTGCGCTGCGTTGACGAGGTTGGCGATGGCGTTGTCGGTGCGCCCAACGACAGTGTTCCACGACGACGTGCCGGGGCACACGTAGAACGGAATCTCCTTCAGCGCAGCAAACGCCTGTTTTCGCGCACAAAACGAGAGTCGCACGCGAACTCGAATCGGTGGGCGGGGTGACGATTGTAGTGCAGTAGTACCTTGCACTGCTCGGCAAAGGGGTGCGAGGCCTCGTAGCCCCAGATGAGCGCGATCGCGTCCTTGGGGAGGGTGTGAATGAGGTCCGGTTGCCTGCGCCACGGCCATCGCGCGAGAGTCACTGAGTCTAAACACCAAAGCGTTGTGTGCGGTGGCGTGTCGTGTGTGTGTCGTGCGTGTGTGACTCAGAATCGATTGGCCACGTACTGGAGAACGATGTCGCCCCAGTACTGCATCTTCTTTCGATACTTCTTGGAGACGAGTTCGTTGACCCTGTTGAGGAAATCGATGTAGATCTGAACACGCACGCGCACGACAGTGAATGGGGCAGCCTTGCAGTAGCGCCTGAAAAAAACATGGCCCTCGCACAGCTGGGAAGCAAACCGTTTGAACGCCCTTCTCCTCGCACAGCTGCTTCGACCGACCCTGACCGAGATCGAACGTTTCGTCGCAACCTTGTGTGGCGTCCGCGGGGCGGGCGGCGGCGTTAATGCATGTAAGACACAACACGTTTGTGTGTGTGTGTGTTGTATGTTGTGTGCGTGTTGAGAGAGAAGATTCTCTGGGCATGATGAGGCCGACGAGGGAGTACGTACCGACGTTGAACTGTCTGCTGGAGAAGTTGGGAAGAAACGCGGCGTAGAGTTCGTCGAGCAGCGCAATCGATTGGTCATCGGGCGCCAGGCCAAAGGGCTCCTTCTCGTTTTCATCGCCCACCGCCAGGAACGGATGGAGGTTGCCCTCGGGGACCTGCGTTTCGCACACAACGCACAGACACAACACGACACGCACGGCACGACCCACACACGACGCACACGCGCGGCACGACACGCACGACTCTTAGCGAGACGAACGCATGCAACACGCAGAGACGGTGTGTGGACAGTACCTCGGCGTACTTGCGGTAGGCCGGGTGCTTGAGCCACCTGTGGAAGTGTCCGAAGCTGTTCTGGTTGGGCACCAGCTCCACGAAGCGTTCCCTGCAGTACGCGTCCAGTTCCAATATGTCCTCGGCTGCGAGCGTGTGTCGCGTGTGTCGCGTGAGAGAAGCTTCGGAAGTGGTCAGTCAGTTGGTCAGATGGATTGCAGGGTACCGGTGAATGGCGAAGCGTCGCGCCACACCTGCTCGTGGCCGGGGTAGGCAAAGGTGTGCTCGACGTAGAGCTGCAGCTGGTTCACCTTCAACGAGGCCAGCTCGTCCACCAGCCTCTTCACCGTCTCCACCGTCGGCACTACACCACGCCCACCCGACCACTACTCGATGAGCACCACTCTACACGACACGAACCAACAAGCAAAGGTGTCGTGTGGGGAAAGTGTGGTGTGTCGTGTCGTGTCGTGTGTTGTGTGTTGTGTGTGGTGCTGACCCTTGTCTCGGGACACGTCGAGCATGACGCCACGGGCGGCAAAGTCGGGCTGGTCAGCGATGCTCACGAGGGGCAGACGCAGCTGCCTTGTCGAGCCGCGGGAGGTGTCGGCTGCGCCGCCCCAGTTGAAGGCGCGTAGGAGCTGCACGAGGGTCTGCGCGCCGTAGAACGCGCCACGGCACGTGCGGCCCGTGACTTCGACCCGCCCAGGCTGGCCCTGGGAAGGGACTGGAGCCACTACGCGCAGGGTGTAGCCTTCGGGCTCGCCTTCGACGAACTCGTCGCTACTCGGGGGAGGCGGTGGTCGCGCGATGGCGGTAGCGGCTTCGTCGATGGCTCCTCCAGTCTCGAGGCGCAGGTAGAAAGCCAAGATGTGATCGCTGCTACTCGATGTCGACAAAGATGGAGATGCTGATGATGAGGTGGGAACAGAGAAGGAGGCGTGGAGGTGCGGGTGGAGAAGGAAGTCGGGACCCTCGAGCGCGCGCTTCAGGTGGCGGGCCACATCGAGCAGGCCCGCGTGCAGGGGCTGGGGCATGTCGGGCGACAGCAACGCGCACACAAGAACCTCGTCCACCACGCCACAACTCGCCAGCTCATTGTCATCACCTCCTCCCAGACGCTCCATGTACTTGGGCAGAGGAACCAGCTTCGCCTTTAGCCCTTCCATCTTCGCTCTCTTCTCTCGACAATTTTAAGATTGATTTTTTTTTCTTTGTTTTGTTTGCTGTATTTAGCAATATGATCACTCGGACAAAAGTCGCCTGAATTTCATTTAGAGTCGACAATTCGAAGAAATGGCGGGAATGTGGAGAGGAAAGATGAGGATCGTAACAATTTGTGCGCGTTGGAATCGCTCCGCCACAGACCGAAAATTTGCAGTAAACCTCTTGTTGGCTCTGAGATATAAAGAACATCATGCGTCGCTCATTATCCTCCTCTGCTCGTTCCGCCTCGGTCCGGCGGGCCGCTTCCTCCTGCGCCTCGTCGCAGCCCCTCCGCGCCTACACGCTGCAGCGAAATGGTCGCAATTTGATTTCCTCCATCTGCGCTCGGTCTTCCTCCTCTTCTCCTCTTCTCCCTGTGCTTGCCCCCTCTGCGGGACGACGATTTTATGCGACGGCGGAAAATGGAGCTTCCTCGGATTCGGCGCCGGTCACTGCCCCCCAGCCGACCGTCTCGCCCATCATCAGCATTCAGACGCCAGAGGAGTACCAGAAGCTCGTCCTCGATGTCTCCAAGACCAGGCCCATCATCGTTGATTGCTACGCCGAGTACGTCCTCCACCTTCGCAGATGGCTCTGTTGGAGATGAAGATTGCTTACATCTTGTCCCACCGTAGTTGGTGCAAGCCCTGCAAGGATCTCACACCAGTGATTGAGGCCGTCATCAAGAGCAGGGAGGGAAAGGTCAGCCAACTTTCATCTTTGTTGCGCTGCTTTCTTGTCTTCTTTGGTGATGGGTCTAACCTTGGTCGTGGTTGCTGCAGGTGACACTGGCCAAGGTGGACATTGACAAGGTGAGCGAGGTGGCGGTGCAGCTGAGCGTCTCTTCGATCCCCGCTGTCTTCGCTATCTACAAGAAGGAAACCATCAGCAAGTACGCTCAGAGCACATGCTTGCCCTGGTGATTACGATCAAGAGCGAGTGTTTGCTTCTTCATGCCTTTAACATCATCTGTGTGTTGTATTGCCTTTCGTGTCGTGTGTGTCGACCAGGTTCGTTGGGCTCAAGTCCAAGGCCGAGCTGGAAGACTTTGTTGATGCTGTCCTCAAGAAGACGACCCAGAGCTAAGCCTCCGTGGGCCTCCTCCTCTCCTTCTCTATCTTTCATGTACGATGCGTTGTAGTGCAACAAACCCAACCAGTTCATCCCACCTCTCCGCTCTGGTCTTCTTCACCACGTCAACAACCTGACCCAGAGGGTGGTGGAGACAAGCACCATCATGTGCTGATGATGATGATGATAAACAAGTAGTAGTCGTTGGTTTTGTTTTGAAGAGAAGCGGTCTAGGTTGTGTGGGTCAGAGCTGGCTTTTGGGAGGCCTTGCGTAACAAGGAAGTGGCCCCCCATCACCTAGAGAAGGTGATGGTACCATTCATCATGATTAAAACCTAGAAGGTCATTAACATCGATCATTGTGCCGGGCTGGGCTACTTATCTCCTCCCGCTCGTCGTACTATTATGGGCTGCGGGGTCAGGGGCGAATCCTCTTCTTTTCCCTCCTCACGTGCGACAGTGGAGTGCACCGCACACCGCACACGGCACGACACTACACGCACACCGCACGACACACACGAACGATGTTTGGTGCGGACTCTGCGGGAAAGAGAACGCGAGATCTTGTTTCGAGGGGCGGGCGTGGGCGAAGGTGTGCGTTTTACTTACAAGCAACGGCGCTTTTACATGTTGAGACGTCGTCTTCCTTCTGCTTCCTCCTTTTTCTTCTTCTTCGTTCCGCACGGCGGGAAGCTGCTACGATCGCTCACCCCTAAAAGATGGCCGATCTGATGCTGATCGACCCCGGTCCGTCCACCAATTGATCCATCATAATCTACTCCTTCTGCGCCTTGGCGATGTTGGTTGGGAGGGGCGCCTTCTTCTGTCCCGGGAGGCTGTTCTTCTGCAGTTGCCAATCAGCCGAATCGAACTGCGCTCGCCCTACATGGTGACAATGAGATCAATGAGGAGAGCAAGGACCCCAAACCGCCCTAACGCAAGGAAGATACAACGTTGGAGACGTTGAAAAGAAAGAGTGTTGTTTTACCTCTCCTCTTGTCGAGCATGGCGCTGGCGAGTGACTTCTTGGGAAGCATTCCAAATTTCTCGTAGTACGCCTTTTCCTCTTCGCTAAGCTTGCTCACATCCACGGCAGGGGCAGCTGCGGTCTTGGGCTGTTCAGTAGACATGTCGTGCGGATGGATGCTTGTTGATGTTACAAATTCTGTCGTGATGCTGGGAGACGCTATTTCCTCTTCCTTTTCTCTTTTTGAGCTTCGGGGTTTGGGCGAGGAATTCAAGGTATGTTCACGAAACGCCAGGGAATGAAGGGTGAGAGGGGGCAGGGGGAGTGTATGCTGGCTCCCACTGTCAGTCCCAAGACATCTTTGTGTTGTTCTTGTTGATGTCAATGCAATGCAGTGCTGACAATTCAATGCCAATTCATGCCCCCCCCCACCAACCCTAGTGTTAGCTTGCATGCTGGGGCACAGGAATGCTGAAGGATGCTACTGTGAGGGATGAGTTGGGCTTGGGGATGATGGGGGACTTTGTTGGGTTAGGCTGGTGCCTATCTGGAAGAGGTGTTGGAGGCTCAGACACTTGAAGGCCCAGAGTCAAAACTCCAACAACATTATTGCAAGTGTGTAGACTGGACTATAGTATGGCATCAAATCACCTCATCCAATCCCCAACCTTCTTGACCTTTACCACACTCCTCCAGCGCAACCTCTGCAGTGTCTTTTTACACAAAACAAGCAAAGTTCTGATTTTCCAGATCATGTATGCGCACACGATAAACTAAGTATTGGTAGGTCAAACATGTAGTCATTGTGAATGTGTATGTGATAAAGTAAGTGTCTGGTTTTTACAGTTTTTGTTGTTGTGTATGCATAGGTGCAAGTCACCCTGCCATCAGCCATGGCCAACAACAAGGAACTGTTGAAGCTCCTGAAGGTGGTAACTGCCCCATTGCATACATGCTATTTTCAAAGCCCATTATGCTTTGAAACTGCAGGACATTCTGTCATGTATGCATACATGATAGAATGTTTGCTAATTTATCTCCTCCTTGCCCCACAGATCATGTGAATGCTGCAACAATTTAATATCAAGTGAATGACAAAGAGCAGCTCCAGGCCACCCTCATAGTGAGCAGCCACCTCCTCAGGAGGCCAAGAAGGAAGAGTGAAGGGCACTCTCCACACTGAGATGTGACCAACAGCCCGTCGGAATTGCTTGTGTAAAGAATAAAAATTGACTTTTTGTCCAGTTAAATCCCAGCAGCTGTGATTTTTCCTTTTATGGTTCTGTGTGCCAACCGTTCAGGAAATTGGTCATTCCAGACCTTGACTGATGGCCCAGTTACAGCATCATATCTCTCATTATGATATTTTAATCTGCCATTTCTCAAGATGCTCCCAATTTTGTCTTGCTATTCTTAAATTAAAACCATTTTTGTGTTGTCAAAACTATTTTTATGAGGTTAAACTCACAAATAAAAGTGATCACTTTTCAAAATGACTGGACCTCTCATTTCAAATGACCACAAGTTCAAAGAACAACCTTCAACAACACATGTGATGCAGACACTGTGCAATGTAATAGTATTAGCATTTCAGGGGCCTTAATGTAGTTGAGTACAAACCATGCTCTTACACTGGGCCAGGACTGCTGGAGGGCTGATGCCAATAGGAGATCACTGGGCACAAGCTCCAAATCATGGAAGAGGTCATTCAGGCACAGGGATCAGTCTTGGTTGGAGAGATTTTCCCTCCTGAGCCATGCTGCAGGTGCCTGGCCCCTCATGGGATTCAACATGAATTGTTGAACATGAAGGAGCACATCAACACCATCAATCCAGCATGGGCACCAGAGTTTCTCTTCATCTTCAGTGACTGTGATGGCTATTCCCTGTGCCTGAATGACCTCTTCCATCAGCAGCATCCAGGTAGAAGCACCAGAGCAGGAAGTTACCAGCAGCTTTCTGGCTGTAGAACCTCAAAGTAAGTGTTATCTAACTGGAAGTTGTTGAAATGGGCTAGAGATCATGTAGGCCAAATTTGCAAGCATGTAGGCAAGTTGGTGTGTGTCAGCAATCAACTGGATGAGGTAGCTGCAGTTACACTGCCCACACCTGACCAGGTAAAGAGACAAGTTGAGTCTTGTATCAGCAGTAATGGTGGCAGCAGCAACAGCTGCAGCAGTAGGGTGGGGTGGTGTTCCTTTGTTTGTTTGTGCATGAATTCACTGTGGGCACTGGCATGCAGAGCATTTGGCATGTATGACCAGCTCAACTATTGGAAGCCATTATCACACATGTAAGCTGCCTCCTGGGAATATGGTGTAGTGATAAAGTGAGGGAAACAATTAAAAAACATGTTGGTCCACAAAAAGCAGTTTATGTTCCAGACGCCACGATCCCGGTAAAAATGGGGTTTCGAGTGTTGACATGTCGCCAACGGAAAGCGGGCAGTTTCCTGCGGTGGAACTTCCGCGACGTCCTAATTCGTTGTGACCTGGGCTCATTGGGTTTTTGGGACCGGTGCCGTGTCGCAGGGGAAAGTTGTTTCCCCCCGCACACCACGCAACGTGCGGCGTCTGCCCTTGGTGTTTCTCCTGTTATCCTCCCGCCAACGCACGCCTCTTCCCTGCCTCTTACCACCAGCCATCCAACCACTACCACACAGGCCTCACCTCCAGCTGTATCCTTCTCTTCTCGCCCAAGCACACATCAAGCTCGCCACCACCCATCCCGTTCCTCTTCTTGTCAGGCGGCCGCACACCACAACCCACCCCTTTGCCCAGCACAGCACACCCGCGGTCCAGCCAGCACGACAAGAAGCAGAAAAGATGGAGAGCGACATGATCTTCCTGTTGGGCGCGAAGCAGGCACAACACAAGGCCGCGTCGCATCGTGACCGCTCGGCGTCGATGCCCCAGACCTACGCCTCCATGCTGGCGTCCTCGACCCCCTTCCTCTCGCCGCCACGACGGTCCTCCTTCTTCGCCAGCTACGTCGGCGAGCGAAGCGGCACGACGAGGCTTCATGACGACGACAGCGCCTTCCCTTCGCCCACCTTCGTGTAATCAACGACCTCGGGCGAGTAACTGCCACGCCTGGGTCTTACGTGGACCACCGAACGAGACGAGAGCTCTTTCACGACACCGCCAACGACAAGCTCTCATCCAACAAGGCACTACGCGTGACATCTTCTGTCCGCCGTGTACAGCACCCCACCGCCCGTTTTTGCACATAGTCGCCGACCTCTCGCCCAGCCTGTCCACACCAACCTCTTCATCTCGTTCAGTCCACACAAGACCTTGTATAATAATACATCAACAAACCCAACAATAGCATTGCCTAATCTCTGCACGTTCCAGATTGACCGCCAGTTTTCGCGTCTTTTGCACGCGCACCATCTTTGGATGTTGATGGTTTGCCACTGGTCTCTCTCTGCCCAGTTGCGAATGGTGGGTGAAGCGGTGGTGGTGATGTGCAATCACTGGGGACTGGCAGTCTTGTCCTGCGGCACGAAGATGTGCTCGCGGTAGAACTGCAGCTCCTTGATGCTCTCCTTGATGTCCTCCAGCGCGCGGTGGGAACCCGCCTTTGGCGGGGCCTTGGCGAAGGTCTCGGGGTACCACCGTCGGCACAGCTCCTTCACCGTGCTCACGTCCTGATCGTGGCGCACCAAAGTGAAGGTTAGAACGCGAATGAAACTCGCAGAATGAACACGACACACACGACACGGCACATGGAAGAGGGATCTGGGGTGGTGACGCGCCATGATGCGGTAGTGGAGGTGTCCCATGAACCTGGGCATGTAGACCTGGAGGAAGCCCTTGTCGGCGTGCACGGTGTTGCCGGCCAAGATGGCCGCGCCCGGCTGCGTGTGGGCCTCCACGAATCGCAGCATTCGCTCCTCCGCCTCAGCGACCGAGACCTTGCTCTCGCGGCAGGCCTGCACCAACGATCGAGTAGCGGTTAAAAATGTTCAATCAAATGAAGAAATGGAATGGTAGAGGTACCTGCGTAAGGCCGCTGGCGCCGTGGTGGGTCTTGCACCAATCGTTCATTGAGTCCAACACATCGTCAGGCTGGTGAATCACCAAATCGTCGGTCTAAATCGCAACAGATGAAGATGATGAGACCTTGAGTGTCGCGATTTACACAAATCGCAAGGGCCATTGTGGAGCGAGGGAAATGGTTGCACGAACCTCAGCAACGATGTTGAGATTGGCGTCCGTGATGAGGCAGGCCATCTCCATAATGTGGTCCTTGCGGGTATCCAGCCCAGTCATTTCCAGATCCACCCACACCAAGGCATCCTTCACCTTCACGGCAGCGCGAGCTTCTTCCATGATTCGAATCAAACGTCGCATACAAAGATGGCCTCGCGTTAGATTTTATTGTACAATAAAATAAGAAATCAAAAAGCCAATGCTGTGGTTTTCTTTGTTTGCATCTTGCTTGCATCTGGAACACGCGGCACAAGAAGATGAACAAACCCGAATCGCATGAACTCTTTGTGCTCAAGGAGGGCGAGAAGAAGTAGGTGCACCCGCAATTCGACGCCTCTCTGCGAGCTGCCAACCAAAAACAACAGCCTAATCGCAATTAATCCCCCCCACATCTTATTCAAGGATCTCTTACCTGCCCGACACAAAGATCCAAAATGCGGCGACGTTCAACATAGAGAAGGAGGATCACACCATCGGCAACCTTCTGCGAATGTACGTCCTTCCGTTAATCGACGTTTTGGGCTCAAATATCAAAAATCAAAAAGATAATTAAAAATAAAAAATAATTTAAAAAATGGTGGTGAGCAGGCAGCTGTTGTCGGATCCCGACGTGGTGTTTGCGGGCTACAAGGTGCCCCACCCGCTCAAGCACACCACCGTCATCAAGGTGCAGACCAACCACAACTCCTCTCCCGGTACGTCTGTGTGACACACACGACACACACGACACACGCACCATCGCACATGCGCGCATACAATCGCGCGTGAAGAGTCTGACGTGATCGAGTGTGCAATTGTACGGTGGCTCTGATGACAGTGGCGGCGATGACGAATGCGCTGACGGACCTGTTGAGCGAGTTCAACCTGCTCAGCGAGCGATTCAACTCTGCCCTCGAAAAGCACCAGCCCACCACCTCCGCCTACTACGACGAGTAGTGGACCTTTCTCTTTCTTCTTCTTCTTACTCATCTTCTTCATCTCCCTCAGCTTCCCGTAGTAAATACAGACGCAATCATCATCATCATCACCACCCACCAATACTTCATCATCGTCTTCTTCTTCATCTTCAGATTTCTACATGTGGTCATCATCATCACGACTTGGTTGTGGTGGTGGTGGTGGTTGGTTGGTCATCGTCGTGGGCGGTGAGGCGCTGCATGCGCTGGTACCAGGCGGGAGGCGCGAGTGGGCGTGGGCCAGGGCGTAGTGGCCCGTCGCCTCGTCGGCCACGCTGCGCAGCACCCCGAACAGGTGCACATCCACCAGTCCTGGCTCCGCCCCATTGAAGAACTCTCGATCGCCTGCGTATGTGCGTCACATATGAGCGTGTGTCGTGTCGTGTCGTGTCGTGCCATGTTGTGTCATGTGCCCTGTGCGTGTCGTGTCGTGTCATGTGTCGTGTCATGTGCGTGTGTGGGCGCGTACCGAGGAGATCACAATAGGCATCGAGTTCGCGGACGAGCGCGAGGCGGAGGTCGTCGCCGTAGACGCCGCGAAGGAGGCGCCTGGCGTGCCGCCACTGCCACCACAGCGAAAGGGCGGCCATCGGCGGAGCGCTCACCCGCTCCCACACGCTCAAGTTACTCGCCTATCGCCACGCAGGGCAGATAATCAGTGTGTGCGGCCATGACACACACGACACACACGCCCAAGCACAGTGAGTACCTGACGGAGTGGGCGCAGGGTGCGGCTGGCCGAGCGCAGGGTGGCGTAGCGATCGGCTTGCACCAGCTGCATGAGGTTCTGGTCGATGTGGTACATCAAGTCGGCCCTGACACGCGCGTAGCAGGTGAGCGTGTTTTTATTATTATTAATTAATAACATAATATAATAAATAATAAACAAAATAAAACAAAGAGAGAAGAGTTGTGTACACTCGGGCGGATTCCTCTCGGGAAGGTTGGAAGGGGTTGTTGCGGTTGAGGTAGAGCTCCAGGAAGAGGATCGTGTGCACCGCAACCGATATCTCCCGCTGTGTCGTGTGTCGTGTGTCGTGTGTCGTGTGTCGTGTGAGCACAGCGCAACATACACGCATACACAAAGCGGGCAAGATGGGCGGGTCGCACGTTGTTGATGTGGACGAGTGGAATCTGTTTGGCCTTGCGCTGGTCGGGTGGGCAGGGCAGGTGGTTTTTGGTCAGGGGATTCACTTCGACCGCCTTGTACTTGAGCTTGCGCAGGTCCTGCACGCAACGCCGACCACCAAACCAGAAAAGAAAAATAAACAAATAAATAAATAACAATAAGCAAATAAGCAAATGAACATTTTTTTTTAAAAAGAACAAATAAATAAACAAAAACACTGGGGTGATGGGGGAAGGTGTCACCAGGTAGGAGCGGACTTGGGCAGATGAGGGCTGGTAGCTGTATTGGTACAGCACGATGTTCAGGTCCTGGGAAGTGCGGGGCAACACACGACGCACAAGGCACGCACCACACACACACACACACAAGTGTAAGACGCGCACACGAGACCATGAGCGCACCCGCGCATGGCACGAGCGCCGAGGGAAGGACATACATTCTTGTTTTCGGGAAGGAAACGAATGTCGGCCGCGGTGAATGGCAGCGCACGCTGGGGCTCTGCGGCGCACACGGAACACACACATGGCACGACACGACACACACCACACACACACGACACACAGAGATGAGGAATGTTGCCACGACGCTGTGGTGTGTTTGCGTAAGCGGCGGGGCGGTACCGGATGGCGTGATGGCTGCGGCGGGCTTCGATGCTTCTGAAGGCGCGTCGGCCTTCTTGCTACTTCGATACCAGGCATTTGCCGCTCCCACCGCTGGTGTAGTACCCACAGTTAAGTAAACAGATATGTCGCGTAGTGTGCCGTGTGTGTCGTGCGCGTGTGCCGTGTGTCGTGTGTGCCGCGTGTGCCGGCGTGTGCCGTGCGTGTGCCGTGTCACGGTCTGTGCTTGGGCTCATAATCAAGCGGCAGTGGAGTATACCGACGACAATGGAGCCCATGATCAGGAACCGGCGGACCGGAGGCGACATGCTGCTACGACGAAATAAATAAATAAATAAATAAATAAATAAAGCTCACAGATGCAGGAGAAGGGCGCGTACGGGGAACTGCCACCTCGGGAGGGGTCGACGCAAGCCATCGCTTCTGTCCGGCTGGACAGTGATTAATTAATTATTTAAATTTATTTCTATATTTATATTGTTAAAAATGGCGGGCTGGCGTACTGCGGAGGAGGGCTGTTGGTGTGCCGCGCACTCGACCACTCGCGACACAAGTCGACGACGCTGTGGGCCACGTCCTCCGCACTGCTCGCATGGCAAAAATAATTAATCTGTATTTTAGTCAGACAAAAAGAGTGCAAAAATAAAAGCTAAAGGAAAAACCAAATCAAAATCGACCTCAAACCAATCAAGAAAGATGGCGAGCAACCCCAAGGTGAGCGGCCCATTCGGCGGACCGATCGAGAGCTGGCGTACCCACCCCATGCTGCGGATCACCCACCCCAGAGACGTGCTTCCCGGCTTCGGAACGGCCCTCGGCCTCTTTGCCATCGTCTGCGTCGGCGAATGGATGTGGAAGTCTGCTGGCGCCCCCAAGCTGCGAGCCACCGGCAAGTCGGCCTGGAAGGACGCTTCTGCCGCCCATGACGATGAGAAGGTCCTCAAGTCGCACTCTCATTAATTCATGTCTACTCAATTAAAGTGCGTCTTCGCATTCATCTCCAAAGCCCCCCCACATCATTCTACTCCAAAATCCATCCTGCTTGCGCCTCCATCCATCCAGGCCTAAGAGAGTTTTTCGGCACACCAAGAGTCTGGAGTTCAAGTAAGAACACCCCACACAAGGCCTTGGGCTACAAGTAGAACGCGAACGGTAAGCAAAAGGGTGTCTTGTTGTTGATAACTCTGGTTGTCGTCTCTTCTTCTCTCCCGTCGTGTGGCCACCATCACGACGAGTGGCTTGATGGCAGTTGCTGAGAGGAAGAGGAGGATTGATCCGTGGAGGTGGTGGTGGCGGAGGCTCTCGCAAGGTGGTGGTGGGTGTGGAGGGACGAATGGTGGGCGTGGCGATGGCGTAGGGTGACTAGTTGTGTGTGGCAACACGTTGTCAGCACGAGCAGCCGCCGGCGCCTGTGTTTTGGGACTCCTCGTAGTCGATCAAAATGCTGTCCTTCTTCGCCGCCCCTCTGCCGCTGTCGCCGTCCTTGTTCGCCTCCAGCATCCCTGGAAGACGCCGATGACGATTGACAACCATCTCCGAGTCAGCGGCAAGTCGTTTGGCGTGTGCGGTGGTGAGTGCAGTTGTGCGGGAGAAGATGAAGACGCACTCCTCGTGAGGTCGAGGAACAGCTCCTCGAGTCCCTTGTTAAGCTTTGCAGAAGTGTCGTAGTGCTTCGCCCCCACGCTCTGCGCGTAACTGTGATGGTGCAGCGAAGCGGAAGGCGCGGGGGAGTGAGTAAAAGGGCGTGAAACAAGAAGACGATGAAGCAGAA